TATATATATGCTAAATTCACCATCAAACAATTGAATGTACTTTTCTGATTTTCTTTATGGTATGTATTTTCTTATTCCGTAGATACCTGTACAAATAAAGAGGACTTGCAAACGTGTCGAGATATTCCACTGAGGTTACAATAGAGGTTGAAATATTACAGAAAATGATTTTCAGCTATTAAAAACAAGAACAATACATGTCAGGATCTGATAGAAGTCTCTCTAAAAAGCAAGAAGCTCATTTAGAGCCTTTTTGCCACATATTAATTTCTTGAATACGTTTTAATGTGTTTGAGGGATGAAAATGTCCGCTCGACAGAGGCAGCAGATATTGGGATTGTCACCGCCAAACATGTCAGGCTAGCCCACTGACCAATCACGTATGGCTAGGCCAGCTAGCAGGCTCTGGCATGTCAAAGAATACGCCCAACATGTCAAACTAAAGATCTGATTGGTTGAAGACTATGACAATCAACAATATCGTCCCCATTCACTTAAACTGGAAAAGGGATTCACTTGTGAGTGTGCAGGCCTCGGGCCTCTCTTCTTACCTAGAGACACAGAGGTGAACTCTGATTGGATAAAAGCTCTACTTAAAACAAGCTGCACTGGAAGCAGAGCAACTGAGAAAGACAGTAGCTGTGCAATGAGAAAATAAGATAATGGGGAAAAAAATTATTAAATAGCTATAACTTTGATTCTGTCTAGGCCAGCAGGGAAGGCCTTGCTGGCCCTGACGTGCGTGTGTGTGTGTGTGTGTGTGTCAGTCAATCATATACAGATGAGCAGGTGACGACATGCATGGTGTCGTCAGTGTATGAATGTGTGTGAAAATGGGTGAATGTTGACATGTAGTGTATGGTGCTTTGAGGGGTCAGAAAATTAGAAAGGCGCTCTACAAAGGCAACCTATTTAACATTTACCATTGTTAAATAGGTTGGTGCAGAGAGCAATAGCTCTCTGCACCAAACACAACTGAAATACACAAGGCTCTGGTTTTCTCTCCTTAAAATTATAAAATTTAAAAAGGCCATCTAAAAATCACACACCACATCAGAAGATCAGGCTGGTGTAAAACCAGAAACACAAACAGGAAATGATAGCAAATCATGACAGAAATATTTGAAGGGTTGGCTAACCAAAGTGGGCTTACCGTTTCTGTAATGCAGAGAAATGGCACTGGACTTCATAGTGATTCCTCGGATCTGTTCATCCTCCCTGCTGTCCAGATACCTCACCTGGCAGATTAGTACACAACAAGTTAGCACAAATCATGAGGAAAAAAAACTGAACATGGCATCTGCAGCAAATCAAGCCACTTACCTTCCCAGCTAGTCGACTTGATATGATACCATTAGTCGCCACTAAGCAGTCAGCCAGAGTAGTTTTGCCTGCACAGATTCAGATGGTTCCAAATGATTCACGGCCGTACAGCTTACTGCATACTCTTTCACAAAACATTTTGACTGATGCCAAAACCTTTTTAATTACCGAACCAGAATAACTTTTGATCAATCTTGATTAATCAATTTTGAAGACTCACTGCTTTTCTGTTTTATATAATTTAAAATGAATATATTGGAGTTATGTTTGAGACTTTTTTTTTTTTTAGACAATTGTGATGTCTTATTTTTTTCCTACTTTGTTATTTTATATATACTATACAATAAATCTCAGAATTAAAATATAACTGAGATCAATTAACAGAATTAATCATAATTGGCAGCCCTATATGCAATGTCTAAATGAATAAAAACAAATACAATTCTGTCACAGTAAAACCTTTTTTATAATTAAGAACATACAGTATGTAGTGACTGTTGAGCAGTATAGTGGATCACTGGTTTGCACTCCTCATTTAACACTATTCAGCTCGCTCCCAGACTAGGAGAAACGTCTCTGCAGTGATTAGATCTTTTTTCCTAAATAATGACATTTTGCTACAGTAAAAAGCATTGGACTCTTAAGGCTCCTAAATCGGATTGTGAAAAGTGTGTTTGGAGATAATGATGCAGTGATGCCTGTATCCATATCTCCTGATCTTACATCAAATTAAATTCCTCTAGATTTCTAATTAGTATCAATAATAAGTAAAAATGCAGTTTTTTTTCTCATACACTGTATGTTTAATAGCGACTTTAAAAGCTCTTACAGTTAGTGAACACATGGTGGTTGCACCTGTACGATTTGGCAACTCGAGTTATTAAAGCGACATTTTAAGTAAATAGCAGTGGTGGGCCGTCAGGGCCAGTAGGGCCTTCGCTGCTGGCCTAGACAGAATCACAAAGTTATATCTATTTTATCATTTAATAATTTTTCATAAATGCACTACATGTATTCTAAATATTTTTTCCCATTAGCTTATTTTCTCATTGCACAGCTACTGTCTTCCTCAGTTGCTCTGCTTCCAGCGCAGCTTGTTTTAAGTAGATCAGATTTCGCTCCTATACTATCTCTAAGTAAAAAAATCTGGCCGGAGGCCTTCAGAATTACAAGTGAATCCATTTGCAGTTTAAGTAAATGGGGACAATATTGTTGATTGTCATAGTCTTTAACCAATCAGATTTTTAGTTTGACATGTTGGGCGTATTCTTTGACGTGCCAGAGCTTCTAACTGGCCGAGCCGAGTACGCCATCATTAATGTGGGGCTTGATTGGTCAGTGACTGTTGTGAAGCTAGCTACCAACTGGGCGTCTTGGTGTTTGGAGCTACGCTAACCTGAGGTGGCTAACCAAGGCAGCAACAAGACACCATAGCATGACAGGACACTTACAAGCTACGGTGCTTTTGAAAACTTTTTCAACCCGAGTGGATCTAAAACTCAACGAACAAGTTCGCAGGAGGACCTCTGGCTGGAACTGAACCACACCGATGTACTGTACAACCACCTCATTAAACTCTTTGTTAACAAAGAAAGGAGGATAGACTTTGTCTTTAAGTGAACTTTGGTAAGTGAAGTGCTTTTGTTTTTACATCTGTAGTAGTGTTACTACTGTGTTAGTTTGTCTATGGTGTCGTTTTTATGATATGGTTAATATTGTTCCCTCTGACGTGAATAATATTTGAATGGCTCGTGCTCTTCAGTGTGCGGCGGAATACGTGTTTTAGCGCTGCAGGTTTGCTGGATTGATTTGTCATGCTTTGTTGTCATATAAATATATGTGACTGGTTCTTGTGAGTTTGTTCTTGTCATTGTGTTAATTACATTGATTTTGACTATATGCATTGTCCGTTAATGATGCAGCATCCCGCCATGCTGCGTAATAGTGACAGACCTGCATCCGTTTTGCGCGTATTCATGTATCTGCACTCTGCAGTTAGTGTATTTGTAGCCCTCATAGGTGTTGAGCTTCATGTAACATTTTATTTCACTTGTCAAATGTTGCAGAGTTATGTGAATATGCATTTTTACACAAAACAAATAATAACCGTAGCTGTGGCATCATAATGAGGTTATTAGGAGGTGGTTCAACTGTAGTAGGACAGCACTGAAGGCCCAGGTATAAAATACACGGCCCACCACTGGTAAATAGCATATGTGTTGTGTGATATGTGCTGAATTTACTAACGTGAGTGGGTTTCGGTGAACATGTATAACACATTTATGATGGTGTTTCTGGAGGATCCCTATTATGAGTCTGCACATGGAAACACCATATCCTGTTTTCAGAGACCGGGATAAGACCTTATACCGTTGAGGAACCCAAACATGCTAGCTGGATTCTGTTGCATGTACTCCATACAGCTGATCCTGGTTATTGAGCACTGCAGACTATCTACGCAGGCGCAGCTTCAGATAAGTGACATATCAGAAATACAAACAATGGCTGCAGATAAAGCGTCTCATTCTGTCTTTCTGTCATGAAAGAAGCTGCCCCCTGTCCTACGTAGTGACAGTGGCCATGAGATGTTCATGAAGTGGGGAAAAGAATGAGCAGTTCAGTCAAGTGGTAGTAAATGTACAGTCAAGTGTTTCATTCATAATCTATACATGCAACAGAATCCGGTGTTTTCATGTGCAGACTCATACTAGGGATACTCCAGACACCCGGTCACAAAGGGGTTAACGTGCACGTTCTACAACATTCTAAATGGAGCATGGCTTGCCCTCATCTATACAGTGAAGTAGGGCTCGTTGCTGCTGGTAAACATTATAAACTCACCGTGGTCAACGTGTGCCAGAATGCACAGGTTTCTGATGTTGGCAGGGTTTCTCTGCAGTGCGATGATCTTCTCCAGGTTGGTGGGTCCCATGGCGAAGAGCTGAAACAGATGACGGCGCTAAACGGACAGCTGGTAGAAGCCGTAACCTGCTACAAACTGCTACAGTATTACCAATGGGAGTATAGTAACGTTACATCAAAGTGATAGTGATAATATGGCAACAGTCTCCGTTGCAATACATGAAGTTATGTTACAGCGCTTACTCAACGTCCGTTACTGGCTAACGTTACGTTAGTCAGTAACGTTACGTTAGCCAGCGTCGGCAGCCCGGTGTAGTTGGACAATGGAGTTTGAACAGTGTGTGGACTTTGTTAACTGGAGTACAATGAACAAAGGGTGAAAGAGACTGGACATTGGGTCCTGACGCTGTCTTCTCTGTGAAATGTGACTGTGTATCTGCTTACTGCTACACTGCCTAGCACAATCTAAACTTGTCACAGACGGACCCAACCGGGCTTCTACAGTCTCCACACAATACCTATAACATGTGTCACGCGGCTGTGTCGAGTAAAATACGTCATTATTTTGAGAATAAGCACATACTTTCATGACATGTGCGCATTTACAACTCACGCTGTTTTCCCGGAAGTTGATGGAGCCATTCATTAACCACGCCTGCTTGCTGACATCGTTGCTGCATTCAGAGAACATGGTAAAAACTCATTTTATGTTGCGACCTCATTTTTTTTGCTTTCACCGGTTTCAATAAAATAGGACACAATCATCAGGATTACAACGTTTAAGTACCATTCTAGGAATGTTTAGGCTTTAAATACTGCGAGCAAACATCAATAACAGCTCTTTTATCTTCTAACTGTTTTTACATATGGCAGTGAATGCCGCATGTCACTCCGTGATGTGACGCTCTGTGGTTGCTGGGTTACCAGATGGCGGAACATATTTGAAAAGCATAATTTAATATTACAATAGATAGTTTAAGATCTGTGTGAAGTACATGTTTGATACTACTGTAAATGTATTGATCAGTTACATACTCAATATAGTGGATATGACGGAGTCAATGAAAACCGTGCTGTAAATAAAAATGTGCTGCAGTTTTTGGGCCACTTGTTGTGTGGCACAAAAGTACTAAAATTGTACTCCTAGTAAAAATTGTCATTTTACAACAAAGTGTTAGGAAAGGCAGTCATAGTCTCATTTTGCTGCATGCGAAACTTGTTTTCAGAAAAAACTGTAAGCACTACACATCCTCACAACTGTTTATTTTGTTATCATATACACAGATTCTGTTTACTCATATCCCACAAAGCAATGTTACATTGAATGCACCTCCACATTGTTCATACTTATATGTTCTTCACCACAGTTCATCCCTTTCCTTTGCACACATTTCCAGACTCCTGACAGTTGAAACACCTCATAGGTTTTGCTGTGTATTCTCTTCCACTATATCTTAGAAGTCCAAAATATGCCTTCTTTGGAAGCACATTTCCTTCAAACTCTACCAAGACAGATTCAGTCTATTTTTCCTTTCTCCCCTTGTCGTTCGTTCACTCTTGACTGCACTATTCCTCACCTTCAGGGTCTCCACTTGTTCCCTCATATTTACAGTGAGAGGATCCCCAGAAATCCCCCCTTGCAACCAACCAACATCTGTTCCCCAACTTTTACAACCCTGAACACTTTGACTTTTATCGCTGAGTACTATTATTTCTACTTGACACCAAATACGTTATGTAAAACTTAATTATAGTTAATGTCAAATGTTCATTGGGTGCCTCTCATGGTGTTGTTAAGCCATGGTGCTAACTTTTTTTTAAATTAGTATTTGTTTTATGTTTTCAACTATAATTTCAAATGATTCAAGTGATTTCCTATTTTCAGTGCATCAATAAATGATGTAACATATATGTTTAACGCTGTTTCATTATTGTAGATTTCCAAGCTAAGGAGAGTCTGAGGGAAGATCAAGAGGGACTGCATGAAATACATGTTGGATAGGTATTTATATGCCTTTATTCACTTTTAATTTTGCTAGACAATGAGTCACCCAGTGGCGGGCCGTGCATTTTATGCCTGGGCCTTCTGTGCTGTCCTACTACAGTTGAACAGCTACGGTGCAGATACATGAATCCGTGCATGACGGGACGCTGTGTCATGAACGGACAATGCATAGTCAAATCAACGTAATTAACACAATGACAACCACAAACTCATAAGAACCAGTCGCATATATTCATATGACAACAAAGCATGACACATCAATCCAGCAAACCTGTAGTGGATCCACGCATTCCACCACACAAGAGCACGAGCCATTCAAATATTATTCCTAAAAACGTTACTGCAGATGTAAAAAAACAAACACAGTTTGTCACTTACCGAATTTTTTGTTGACAAAGAGTTTAATCCCAGTACATTGTTTCAGTTCCAGTAAGAAGTCCTCCTCAATTCATGGACGCCAGTGGACGCCTCCTCAATTCATGGACGCCAGTGACAGTCAAGCCCCCCCGAGTTGTATTTCGCCGGCCGGTTCGCAGCGGGACCGGGATCCCACCTCCACCTCCGTTCCATTCAAACCGCCGGCCCCGACCACGCACCGGTCGGCGGGCGCACCGGCCGGCGGAGGCGGAGGTAGGATCCCGGCCCGCTGCGAACCGATATAAATTTGCCGTTGTTAAAACCATGTATTTCAATTCACCAAGACTTTTCTGTTATTTGATTCCCTATTCAGCTCTTTGGCAGGAGAGAAAAAGTTCTCTTCTAACAACAACTACTATACATTTACGACCCTACTATCTAAAATCAACAATCTGTGGTGAGAGAGAGTGTGTACTACAAAAATGGTGGATGACGTCTCGTAGGTGACCACGCCATGCCAGAGTAAAAAATGGATTTCTGGAGGGAAAACTATTGGCAGATGTAGTTTTGACTACAAAAATGGCGGAAGATAGATAGGACCACCAAAATGTCGACTTAAACGGGAAGAGAACTTGTTATTTTTTTCCTCTGAAAAAATTGGGCTTCTTCCTTCTGCAGGTTAAAGTTGTCCGCTTCTCTGTCGGGATCCAAAACAGTTCGTCCAGCAAGTGTACTATTCCTAGGTTTTCTTAAAAGCAACAACGTGCGCGCCCACTTTCATGCAAATCGAAATGCGCAGGATGGCTCCCAGTTGGAGCTAACGCAGATTTTTTTAGTTTCAGTGACTCCACAGGGAGCCCCCTGTGGTGCATATGGCCCTCGTCCAATGAGACCTTGGTGTTGAGTTTGGACTAAAAATCACACATAGGTGAGATTTAACATCTCGTGGGGCTTGGTGTGATTTTAACCCAAATCAGGCTGTTGAACCATGTAGGCCCAATAGGCCCAACTCTCTTTGTTCCAACCAAATGGTGAAGTCCCAACACAATTCAATTCAAATTATTTGTATTTCCCTCAGTAGGCTTTACAATCTGTACATCATCCTCTGTCACAGGACCCTCACATCAGTACAGGAAAACCACCAAAGAACCCTTTAACTGGGAGAAAAAATGGAAGAAACCTCAGCGAGAGCAACAGAGGAGGGATCCCTCTCCAGGATGGACAGAAGTGCAGTAGATGTCAATTGTACAGAATGAACAACACACCAGAGTTACAACACATTCAATGCATTTGACATTAATGATTCATGTCAGGAGAGTAGTAAGCAGAATAATGGTGGAAAAATTACGACTACTAATAATAACAATGAGCAGTGGGTGTCAGGCAGGACCACGTTCCAGATATAACTACGATCCATTGAAACCTGTGAGGAGAGAAAGCACAAAGACTCCGGGGAAGAAGCAAAGTTAGTCATGTGCATGCCGTGTGCTCTTTAAAAATAAACGGCTGACAGAGCTGTGACTCTCCAAATCTCACACATAGGTGAGATTGTAACACCTGATGGGGGATGGCGTGGTTTAAACCAGTTCAGGCTTTTCTTTTTCCATGCAGGCCTCTTCCTTTGTTTCAGCCACATGGTGAAGTTTCAACACAGCCATTGGGATTTTCTGGCTGTCACGGACCTGCTTACAGAATGTTACGTGTTCTGTTGTTAGCTGCATGAACCAATACAAAAATCTTCATGTAATTTACTTTTATCATCTGAGGACTTGAACACTAAGTGGATTCATTTTATTTTTTAGGTGTTTTAGGATTTGTTTACCAAAATGTCCTTTAAAACAACAGGAAAACTCTTTTCTCAATGAGGACAGGATTAGATGGATCTGGACCAGCTGTCTGTGACCCAACTTCAAACTTGGAAGCTGTAAGTTTTGCCATTTGAGGGTTTTCTGCCCCTAATTATTTCCACCTGTGTCTCATCAGCCCCTGTTCCCACTGTATTTAAACCCTGTATAGTCTGCTCCTCGCTGCCAGTTCATCCATGTTTGTTTGTCTAGTGTTCCATTCTTAATTCCTTGTATCAATATACCCAGTGCTTTGGAAATTTTGCCGGTTTTCCTTAGACACGATTTTTGCTAGGCATTTTTTGGATTACCTTGCTTCATGACAGATTTCCTGTATACCCATTCCAGCTTTTCATACAATACCAAGACTTTTATTTAACTAATCCGCTGTGTTTCAACAAGTCTTGTTTGTGCTACCAGTCATAACGGAAACATGCTGCTAATAAAGAAAACACAGCCAAGAAAAATGACTCGTCACCCTAGTGACAAAGATAAAGCAGGAAAAGCTTATTTTGGTGAAAAATAATGTCAAAGAAATGGATAGCAGCCCAAATAGATAATGTAAAGCAAAGGGGTGAGTGCTTTTCTTCCATAGAAAAATGCTGTATGGGCCCACGCCCTATAGGAACTCTCCAGGTACCTTTCCATAAGGCATGTTAGTCATTAGTTAGGAGTGTTATCAAAGGGCTCTATTGATTTAGCATTACATTGTACACTGTTTGCTCTCTCAGTACACACACCCACCCTTACCCACGCAAAGACTGCAACCCCACCTAAAACTAGCATATCAACCTGTATAAAAAATATATATATATATTAGTGCTGGGCAAGTTAATGCGTTATTATCACATTAACGCATTCATTAATTAACGCCGACAATTATGTTATCGCGCATTAACACTTTTTTTTATTATTATTTTGAAAGTCCGTTGCTCACTCGCAGCGGTGGAGGAAGTCTTCGGCAGACTACGTTGGATGCAGCGTGTGAGAGAAGTATAGATAAACAAAAGCAAAGCTAACAAATGCCACAGCAAAGTGGATACAAACTGCAGGCTGATTAGTAGGCCTATTGTGGAAGATGTCGGTCTGAGGAACGTTCTTAAGGTGCGTTCGCATCGCGTTTGGTGTTGTTAGGGCACAGAACTTCTGATCGAAGAGAGAAACCGTCCCTCCCCCTTGCCATGTGCTTCTCATCCGCCTCCAAAATAGAACAGCTGGTCCAAGTCAAAATCAAAAGGATTTATTATCCAACAAACGCAACAACAGTTACAAACTGAATCACACTATGAATAATCTAATGTTCCATGGAGCAGAGACCAAATATGTCGCACACCACAGTCTGGCGTTGCCCAGTCTAGCTGTAA